ATGTATATATCCAAAAGACTTGAAAGCAGAGACTTGTATACTTGTATCTTGTTGTTTTAAATGACTTCCTTAATAGTTACCTAACATTTATTGAATATCTACTAATTACACAGACACCTTAGACAAATCATTTCTATTTGCATTGGGTACCTTACATAAATTATCTCTGAATTTAAAAAATGATGGTTACCCTATTGCCCCATTTCTGGCTAGCAGGTGCTAGACATGCAGCACCAGGGTATGCATACTTACACCGTGCAGCCAGAAGGTGAATCCAGATTTGTGTGGCTTCAACACACTCACTGTGTCCACCACACCATGATGCCTCTCACTTACAAACCTAGATCCTCTTGGTTTAATTGTTAAGTTGATCCTGTGTAGCTGTTTATGAAAGTAGTATAGCACAGATCTCAAAGCACTGCTACATTGTGTGGTCCAAAGTCAGATGGCATGATAAGCCAAAAGCTTGTTAGAAACACAGTCTCATGTTAAGCCCCAGATCTACTGAATCAGAATGTGGATTTTAACACGATCTCCAAAGAATTCACATGCACATTAGCATTTAAGGAACAATATCTTTAAACATTACATAGATTGTTTTTTCTGCTTCCATACTAGTCACATATACAACCCACTCCCATCAGTAACACCTCTCTTTAGAAAGAAAGGATTAAGAATCTCAATGAGGGCAAGCTTGAGCATTTCTGAAGAAGGGAGTAGACATTTTTATTGAGTTGGGTCACAACTATTTTACTTACTTCTAATTGCCCATAATCTACAGATACAGAATTCTGGTTACTCAGGTAAATTTCAGTTGGCTACTTAATTTACCCTGTCCTTTGATAACTTTAGAAGCTCTGGTGGCATAGTGGTTAAGACATTTGGCTGCTAACCCACCAGCTGTTCCACAGGGAAAGATGAGGCCATCTGCTTCCATAAAGATTTATAGCCTTGGAAACCCTACGGGCAGTTCTACTCTGTTCTATAGGGTTGTTGTTGTTGTTATGTGCCGTCGAGTCGGCCCCAACTCATAGTGACCCCCTCCTTGGGTTTCCAAGGCAGTATCACTAAGGAAGTAGGATAGTGTTGTTAGGAGTTGGAATTGATTCAATAGCAGTGGGTTTGGTTTTGGTTGATAGCCTTCCATTAGTAATTCTAGACTACAGTGGCTACTCCACAAAAATGTTTCAAAAACTCCAGAGAAGAGAAAAAAAAATCCACTTCGGATGATTCTATCTATCTGGCTTTCTTTCTCTTCATTTTGCTGATTCATTTACATTGAAAAGAAAAAACAAACAGATCCCTCAATTAATTGCCTTTCCTGTCCTCCCCTGGGCCTCTCTGAACCTGTACAGAAGTCCCCAGAGTTTTCTTAAAGGAAGCCAGCCTGACAACTGGATCAACATCAAGTTAATCCACAGGGAGATACCAAGGATAGTGCAGAACATACTGCTACACCAATAGCACACTTTAAATTAAATAAAATCTATAAAGACTAAGTCATAAAGGAAAACTTTTTAGACAGAAAAGTCCAATGACAACATTATTCTTAAGTGAGAACTCCAGAGAAAAAATAGCCTCTAAATGTTTTCTAGGCTTCAGAAAACTTACAACTTCTGGTAAAACGGCAGAATAGGCAGACAAGCTACACAGACCCTTTTCAACAAAGAAAAGAGAAATTAATTGACTCTGATAGAGAAGATAATTCTGGAACCCTGAGCTTTAAAGAAAGGATACAGAAGTGGATTAAGCTCCAACTAGTAGAAGAATGTGAATGAAAACAGTGAGTAAAGAGAGAAATGGAGCTGAACATTGTGAGCTGTCCTGATGGCACAGAAAGCCTCAATATTTCCAAGTGGTGTTAGGACCTGAGAATTAACCTAAGAATCAGCCCTGCTCACCAAGGGCTTCATGGACTACTGCAGAGGTAGCTGACGACTGAAGAGGGAAACAGCAGAGGAGGAGACAAACTTGAGCTGTGGACTTTCAGCTCTCTGGAGGGTGCAGCCATTTTGAATGTTTACAAGCAGAGGCTGGGCAAAGCCATTTTAAATGTTTACGTATGGTAGCCATTTTGGATACTTAAAGTGATAGCATTCTCGTTCAAATTCCAGGGACCTAAGAATAGGCTCCACTTGCGAAAGACAGCACGGACATATAAAAGCCTGATGACTGGAAAGGAGACAGGCGGTGAGTAAGTGCTGCCAACTAGCGGATAGAGGGGCACAGTACCCTGCTTACTCAGATACATACAAACAAAACAAAACCAAAAACAAAACCCACTGCCCTGGCGTCAGCTCCGACTCATAGCAACCCCTCCTTGGGTTTCTGAGGCAATATCACTACAGAAGTACATTGCCCAACCTTCCTTCCAAGGAGTGGCTGGAGGGTTTGAACCACCTGTTTCTGGTTAGCAGTCAAATGCCTTAGGCATTATGCCACCACAAAACAAAGAAAACAAAAATCTTGGGTCAATCACTCCAACAGACTATCATCAATTAAATATATACACAAAAACAGCATGTATCTCAGAGACAATAGACCATCACAGTCCACACAAAGAAGAAAGATATAGCAGTAGAAACAAGGGACTAGAAAACAGAGTAAATCCCTGAGGAAAAAGCAGCACTAGAAATGCCTGATAAGGAATTCAAAAGAATTATATTTAGGTATCTTCAACGGATTGAGGGACAGATCAAGGAAAACACTGACAAAATTGAGGAAAACACAGAGAAAACCCTAGAACAACTTCAGAAGATAACACAAGAACAAAAGGACAAAATAAATGAAATATTAGAAATGATACAAAATCCAGAAATGATAGAAATCCAGATTAATACTGAATTCTCAGAAATAGATAACACATTGAACAGGCAAAGTAGTAGAATCAAATCAATGGAAGAAAGAATTAGTGAGACTGAAAACAAATACCTCAATGCTTCTTTGGAAAGGGATCAATCAGAAAAAAGATCAAAACAAAATGAAGAAAGCTTAAGGTTCATGTGGGATACAATCAAAAGTAATAACCTATGTGTAATCAGAATTCGAGAACAGGAAGAGACAAATAAAACCACTGAGAAAATTGTCCAAGATTTTTGGAAAAGAACTTCCTGATATGATAAAAAAAAGAAAAAAAAAAAAAAAAACCAAGAATATATCCATTCAAGAAATCAATGAACCCCAAACAGGACAAACCCCAAAGGAAAATCACCAAGACATATCATCATCAAATTCAACAAAGCCAAAGACACAGAAAGAATCCAGAAAGCAGCATGGGAAAAACGAAAAGTTACCTATAAAGGGTAATCAATAAGAATAAGCTCTGATTTCTCAGCAGAAACCATGCAGGCGAGAAGGCAATGGGATGGTATACATAAAACCCTGAAAGAAAAAACTTATCAACCAAGAACTATACACCCAGCAAAACTATCTCTCAAATATGACGGTGAAATTAGGACATTTCTAGGTAAGCAGAAATTAAAGGAATTTGTTAAAACCAGACCAACCTTACAAGCAACGCTAAAGGGAGTCCATTAGACAGAGAACCAACAACAGCAAACAACAACTGACCATTAACACACATGATTACATAACCCAGAAACCAACCCAATTACGGAAGTGTTGTTGTTATTGTTGTTAAGTGCCGTCGAGTCGTTTCCGACTCATAGCAACCCTATGCACAGCAGAACGAAACACTGCCCTATCCCGCGCCAGCCCCACAATCCCTGCTATACTTGAGCTCATCAATGCAGCCACCGTATCAATCCATCTGTACGGATTATTCAAGGGTATAATCTACTAATGTAGTTTTTGGAAGATGCTAACTGCAATGGAGAAAATTAAAACAGGAAGAAGTTGGAGGCTGAAAAGTGAGTTGGGAGGCTAACAGTAAAAATGGCAGAGGAGATATATAAAGGGGTAAGGGTTGTGGGGGAGAGCAAAAGGAGAATTAGAAATAACCCCAGGTGTGCATGAGGATAATCCATGCAATTCCCCATCACTGTCCTATACTATAGGCTCTCATGACATGTGCCAGTAGGAAACTGTCTCAAAAACAAATGTAAAAATAAAAATGCTCATCTACTTGGTTTCAGAACTGCTTAGTTGAAAGATGTTTACAGTTTTGAGAATCTTTGTCTTGACTCACTAAAAGACATCTAAAGATTAGATTGGACCTTCTAAACCCACTGTCAATAATATCACTGTTCCTTAAAAAATGTATATATTAGCAGATGAAATATGTAATGTTCTGCCCAAAATATAAGGAAAAAAGCCAGGACTGTTGAAAATATTAATATATTATAAATATTAGGAGTCAGAGGCAAATACAAAAATTTCTCCACTGGATAAGAGTTGAAAAGCACCACAATAGGTTTATAACAGCAACAGTAACAGTGCAGGTTCTTAAAACAAGCCAGGTTCTCAATGGTCTGGACTCAGTGAAGTGGTGCCTGCCTGAGATACCATAGGCATCCTGCGGTCCTCATTTCAGTTTCTCCACAGACCAAGCAACCCAGGCAGGCTAAAACAAATACAGGTATGTACTACGTTATGACCATTCCGGCAACATCAGACTACATACACATCTGTAGGGCAGGGAGGAGGGATTTATTTAGAAAAATGTCAGAAGATAAGGCCAGCTTCAGCTTGGTAACTGCAGCAGCTCAGCTACAACCACAAAGCCACTGCAGTTATCTCTGGTGTGTGCCCTGGCCACTCAGTCCCACAAGTTAGTGCCTTTGGGGAGATACTGGACTGCTACTACTCTGCTCCATCCCTTGGGGGCTGCTTAGAGAGCACCACATGCCCACAGGCAGTCAATTGCAAGTATAAGTTAGCAAACTTGGAACTTTGATACATGTTTACCAAATATATACTACATATAATATGACACTGACACAATGAGCAAATAACATAATACTCTATTTCACAGAACTTATCATGGACATTAAGTGACACATACCTGTACTTAAGAGTTCTTTTCTAAAGGAATAACTTACAAGGTGATTGCTGATGTTTTTCATTTTTTCCACAACACTCTTCATAGTCTTCAACACTGGTAAGTAAATACTAACCTACAAAAGCAAATGTAAAAGTCAAAAGTACTAACAATATTAATATGCACAAGGAATATTATGTCATCAGTAACTATTTTTAGAACCCATTCATGATTAAAATCTTTGGACTTGTGTTTTTAAGTTGTCTGAATAAAGTTCTTTCAAAATTTTATAATTTTATGAACTCATGAATGTTCAAGGAGCTCTGGTAGCATAGTGCCTAAGGCATCTGACTGCTACCCAGAAGGCTGGCGGTTCTAACCCACCAGCCACTCCTTGGAAGGAAGACGGGGCAATCTACTTCCTTAGTGATACTGCCTTGGAAACCCAAGGAGGGGTCATTATGAGTCGGGTCTGACTTGACGGCACATAACAACAACAACAACATGAATGTTCAAATAACAGTGAAGAACCAAATGCTTTCCTCTGGTTATCTCAGCAACAATGTCCCTATAGACATTCTTCTGGTTCAAGAAGGATCACAGCACTTCAACTGAGATTCCCTTATATAAATCCAAGGGGAATGAAACTCAAGAACTCAGCAGGAGACTTTCCTCTAAAGATGCTTACACTTGGGGCTCAAAGGGGCCTTTTCAGTACTGGGGAAAAATACAACATGAGAGGTAAGCTTGTATTACTAATGTTACTTTAAAAAATACTGGCTTTTCCCAAATCAAGGTAGATGCTTTCTATTAAAAGTCAAATAAATATTTTATCTAATATATTTATATACTTCCTCTTAAATAAATTGTGAACAAAGGGCAAAGGACCCTTAGGTATTATCTTTATTTCGGGTAGCTCTGGGATTACTATGAATAGGATTGTCAAACCAAGTTCTAATTTGTGAAATCTTTTTGCCTCTCAGCTCTCTTACACATATCCTGGGCTTTGCTCCTCCCAGGGACTGTGAGACACAAATTGATGCTTAAGGCCAACATTCCTGATAGATAGTGATTATCCTCCAAAGTATTATTTTAGTTTTTCTTTTTTTTAAAGGGCTATTATTGAGGAAGACATTCTCTCTCCTGTTTGTAAAAAATATGACATTTCTACATAAAAATATGACATTTCTGTTTTAATATATTCTATGTAAATAACAAAAGACAAATATTCCAATTGTTTTCCTTGAGTATCCTTTTAAAATGAATGGATACCACTTTTCTTTTTGAGTGGTATGCTATTTTCAAAAGAAATATGCTATAGGACTATAACTAAAATTACAGAATTCAGATCATTCCATTTAATATATGAAGAATAACAAAAACTTCAGGTATCAACTTACATCAGCATCTGGGACTGTAGGTTCTTGGAAATCCTTCCACAGTTTTCTAGGAATAACCTTTATGGGGATATCATGTGTCACAATGCGACTACTGTTTGATACAGATAACTGCCAAGAGAAGAGTAGAAATGTATCTTTAGGATGTCAATATTAAAAAAAAAAATCAGACTAAAAAAAGGTTATTTACCAAATCTGAATAGAACATTCTTAATTCATTCAATCAAAATCAATTCAACAAATATTTATAGAGTGAGTACCTGCTCTATTGCAGGTACTATTAGGAGCGGGAGAGTGTGATGAATAAGACAAAGTTCCTGACGTTCCAATGGAATATATGCATCAATGAGCAAGAAAACAAAAAAAAAAATTTCCTGGGACAATTATTAAAAAGTCTTAATGAAAACAAAATGAGTGAGGGCAACTGTAGGGGGCAGTTCCTTAGATTACGTGATCAGGGAAGGCTTCAAAGGAGATGACAAGTGTCAGGTCACACAAAACAAGGACAAGCAGTCAGGCAGAGGACACAGCATGTATTAAGTCATGAAACAGAAGCAAACTTGCTATGTTCAAGGATGAGAAGAAAGACCACTATTTGCTCACAGGATACTTTTCCTGTCCCAGTCTCTATACTACTAAAAGCATAAATTAGCTTCACCTCTTTCCAAGGGATTTTGTAAGATTCATAACAAGTCAAAGTATCTTGAACTCTTAGAAAATTATTTATGCTACCATCTTGCTCTTCCTTAAGCAATTAAAAGAAACATACAAAACTTACATTGTGGCATGGAAACTGATGAGCTCCAAGAACTGCCTGACTGCAAAGCCAGTTAAGAGCTGAGAAAAAGATATGAAGAAAAGTTGAGAAATCGTCTTCTACAGAGGATCTTTGTAGATCCTGGATAGACAGGGGGAACAATGTGGAACAAAACTCAAAATCATTTGGGAAAAAAAAAAAAAGCGGGAAACAGGTTTGCTGGCCCGATGGAGCCTGATGGAACCACTGAGACTATGGCCCCTAGCTTCCCTTCAGGTCTGGAACTGAACTCACACCTGTGGTTTCCAGCCAAGCAGTAGACAGGCATACTAGTTGAGCATTTACCTGAGGTAGATACACTCCTTGGAGAGAACAAGAAAGAGAGAAAGAAGGGCTGCTCAGGCACAGGGAGACAGCTCAGAGGGTAGGAGGGCATGAAGGGATAGTCACAGGGAAGCGGTACCTATCGGGAGGAAGTGGGAGAGGAGATGTTGCATTGTGCTAAATTGTGGTCAATGCCATGAGACAAAGTGTATGTGATCTGCTGTATGGAAAGTGTATTTGCTCTGTAAATTTTCACCCAAATCACAATAAAAATTAAAAAAAAAAAAAAAAATTTTCTTCTACAGAGAGGTTTAAACTGAATACAATATCACAGGTAAGATACATAAAGTGTGTACAAAAAGTAAATAAATAAATAAAGTGCATACAGCATATAAGAAAGGAGAGATTAAAGGACAATGAAAAGCTGGGGAGGAGGCAGCATTAATCATAAGCACTCAATGGGACATATCCAAGGAACTGCTCAGAGTAGGAGTTTGCAATTTAGTTCCAAGACAGGTTGGGTTATGAAGGAATTTGTATATTATACCAAGACATTTGTGAGCGGTGAGAGCCACTGCGGTATATGTAGTCTTGAGAAGAATTATGAACTAAATTCACCTGGCACTAGCATGTAAGACAGATGTGTTACTCCTACATTGTTGTTGTTGTTATGTGCCATCGAGTCGAACCCGACTCATAGCGACCCCTCCTTGGGTTTCCGAGGCAGTATCACTACGGAAGTAGATTGCCCCATCTTCCTTCCAAGGAGTGGCTGGTGGATTTGAACCTCCAGCCTTCTGGTTAGCAGTCAAGTGCCTTAGGCACTACGCTACCAGAGCTCCTTACTCCTACAATAGAAGTCCTTTAAAGGGTATTACATCCTTGTTCTTAAGATGTTTTTCACCTTAATGTCTATTTTATCAGAAATCATAATTGCTACCCCTGCTCTTTTTTGGTTTCCATTGGCTTGGTATATTCTTTTCCATCCTTTAACTCTTACTTTGTTTTTATCTTTGTATCTAAGGTGTGTCTCTTGTAGGCAGCATATCGATGGGTCTTCTTTTCTTATCCAGTCTGCCACTCTCTTTCTCTTGATAGGTGCATTTAGTCCATTCACATTGAGTGTAATTAATGATAGGTATGAATTGACTGGTGTCATTCTATTGTGGTTTTTTCTCGCGTTGTTGGTGATTCCTTGGTCCATGTATATTTCTGTGCTGAGTTCAGTTTGTTGGCTATTGCTTTCTCTCTTTTCTTCTTTATACTTGGTTTTGTGTTTATTAAGCCCGTATGTTTTCCTTCCTTCTGAATTTGCTTAGAAGAATTGTTACTTTTCTCTGTGGTTACCTTGAAGTATATTCTTGTCTCTACATTTTTAGAACAGTGCATGCTGCAAAGACATTGTCTGTTTTCCTCTCCATTTGAGGGTCTGTACCTGTAAGTATTATTCCCTCTGATAGGTCAGTTGCTGTTGTATGCTGCTTGAGTTCCTTGGTTTTTAAGGTAGAATGTTTTATGGTCTTATTATGAGTATCTCTTTCTGATTTGGTTTTAGAGTTGCTGTCACATATCGTGGTTTTGCTAATCTCTGTTGTGTGTTCTCTGTTGGTAGGACTTCCTTAAGAATTTCTTGCAGGGTTGGTCTGGTTTTCACAAAGTCTCTTAATTTCTGTTTATCTGAGAATGACTTGATTTTGCTCTCATATTTTATGGATAATTTGGCTGGATATAGGATTCTTGGTTGGAAGTTTTTTTCCTTTAGAGTTTTATATATGCCGTCCCATTGCCTTCTTGCCTGCATCGCTTCTGCTGAGTAATCGGAGCTCAGCCTGTTTGATTATTGTATTTCTTTTTTCCCGGGAAGCTCTCAAAATTTTTTCTTTGTCTTTGGTTTTGGAAAGTTTGATTATAATATGCCTCGGTGTCTTTCTTTTGGGGTCTATCTTGTGTGGCATTCTATGAGCTTCTTGGACAAATATCTTTTCTTCTTTCATGATATGGGGGAGGTTTTCTGCTAGTAGGTCTTCCACAGTTTTCTCGGTGGTCTTTTTCACCTCTTCTTGTTCTGGAATTCCAATGAGTCTTATATTGTTTCATCTCATGTCATCACATATAATTCTTAGGCTCTCTTTATTTCTCTTAAATCTTTGTTCTGATTTTTCTTCATATAGGCTAGTTTCCAGGGATTTGTCTTCTAGTTGGAATATGCGTTCTTCAGCCAGTTCTAGTCTGCTCTTTTGAGCTTCTACTCTGTTGTGTAGTTCTGTCATTTTCATGTTCATGGTTTGCATTTCAACAGACATTTTCTGCATTTCTAACTGCTGTTTTTGTATAAGTTCTAATTGTGCATTAATCTTGTGCTGCTCAATGATTTTCCTGAGTTCCTCCAGGGAACTGTCTGTGTTCTCCATGTTTCTGTTTGGGGTTTCCTTAGGCTTTTGTATAGCTCTATAAACATATCTTCTAAATTCCTTCTCAGATAATTCTATTGCCTCTTCTTCCTCCATGTATAATGAGACTTTTGTTTGTGGTTTGCTTCTACTTCCTTGTCCTGTTTTTTAGTTTGATTTGAGGTTGCCTATTGTTTCCTAGACATTCTGAGGTTGTCTTTAACTGCTCGTTACGTGTTGATTTGTTTTGTCTTCGTTTTATGGTTTAATATTTTGAAAAGGTGAAGCTGGTATATTTTACCTTATTATCGATTCAGGTATGCTGGGTCGCTCTGCTGTTTTCTTTGTGATGGTGGAATCACTGTGTGGAACGTGGATATGTGTTTCTGTTTATCGTAAAGAGGGTTTAGAGTTCAAACTGGAGGTTTGATGGTAATTGGCTGAATATGGCTTCTTCTATTGAATGAATGAAGTTATTGGCGGAGAAGGTGGGAGCAGAAGGAAAACTTGGTGTTGCTAGGGTCGGTTTCTAGGACTTTGAGTGGGCTGCTACTGATGACTTAGTACTGTTATTTACAAGCCCACGGTTCAATTTCAGGAAAGATTCCTGTTGTTAGGGAGTTGCCACTTTCCACCAGGCTCAGGCACACTCAAAGATCCCGCTTCCGAGGCCCCTCAGTGCCAAAAAGCTGATCCAAGGCAAATTCCCGGGACCACACTCAGCCACAAATTCCTTTCTCTCCACCCCGTCTGCCTGCCGTACTGGCGCAATCCTCCCTGACCGCGAATGGCTCAAGAATTTGTCTGTGATACTGCCCACCTGCGGCACCAAAGATGCGCATAATTTCAGCTGTGCTGGAGTTGGGAGAGTGCCTGCTAGTAATCTGTGGTCCCAATATCAGTGACAAGGACAAGCACAGACCTCTCAATGTCTCCCACGCTGACCCAAACCCACTCAGTGACCCGCTGAGGGGGGAGCAAGCCTACCCTCCTGGAGCACCAGTGAGCTCTCTGCTTGGGTTTCAGTGGTGCTGCATGCACCCATTTGGGCCTAGCCAACCCAAGTTACCGATAAAATCAGGTGCTGAAGGTAGATCCTTGGGGTGATTGCTGGGATGATGGTGTGGTTGCTGGTATGCTGATACAGGGTTTCTTCTTCCTTGGCTCACGGAGATCTCAGGTGGCTGCACTCGCCCGCCAGTCAGCGTCTGCCCCAGGGAAGTTTCCAATGGACTCTCTTGGCTGCCCATCCATCCTCCACCAGGTAGATCTTCCCCACTTAATCTCCCTGTGCCTTTCCTCTAATTCTGCTCTTCTGTGTTTGGTGCACTTTGATTCAGTGAACTGTTCAGAGCATCAAAATCCCTAATTCAAACTACTGTACCTAGTTTTTCAAGCACTAAGTTTCTAGAGTGAAATAGCATGGTGATTACTGATGAGACTCCATTTTGAAAGACCAAGGATGGGCATTATATGATGCTGAAAGGGTCAACTGACAAAGAAGAGGTTACAATAATAAATATTTATGCACCCAATGAAAATGATCCAAAATACATAAAGCAAATATTAACTGAATTAAAAGGAATGATAGACAACTCTACATTGGTAGTGGGAGACTTTAACACAACACTATCAAGGAG